TTGTGGTATGACCCAACTAATGTAGCCGACGCAAAAACGCTGATGGCCCTGTCAGAGCCAGTGTTATCTTTGTCCGTTCAGGGCTACACTCTGGTCCATTTCTGCCAATATATCACCCTAAATCTTGCACACGGGACTGTTAAAAGATGGATTAAATAAATGATTGACTGTGTTGCTGTGCAGGTGGATGGCCTGATGGAGGACATGGAGGTGACCTCTGGGGACGTAGAGCAGCTCAGGCGGGACTTCAAGGACCTGGAGAAGCAAGTCAACCGGACGGCCCGGACCACTCAGATCCAGTACATGGAGACGGGGCTGGAGGTGGAGGCGGCGAAGGAGGTGGTGCTAAGTCGGGTGGACGAGCTGGCGAGGAACCTCAGCCAGCATTCCGTGCGGCTGCAACACTTGGACTCGGACGTGGACTACGTGTTTGATGCCTTGTACAAGCAGCACAACTCGACCGGAGACTGCGACTGCAAAGGGCTGAAGGCCGCCATGGCTCAACTGGAGGGGGGCGTGGCTAACGTGACGGAGCTGGCCAATGAAAACAGACTGGCTCTGGAGGAGGAGAGTGGTGGAGGGGCGGGGCAGTGGGGCGGGGCCGGTGACTGGGAGCCAGCGGTGGAGGCACTCCAACATGGCCTCCAGCAGGTATGGAAGATAATCCCTTGTGTAGTTCTCAAATAAAGATACTGACACGATATATGTGACTTAAATTTGATTAAAAACTACAGTGACCTGCTGGTTTAGGACATTATTGAGACTTTTTTAAACGTGGAAATATATATTTGTGTTTTTTAAGATGTATGTCTTCAGTAGAAACCAGTGTGCGTGGAGCTGAGAGCCACAGACAGAAAGATAGACAGTATTTAAACAAACTCTGCCATATATTTATGGCTGTGCTCCTCCTGCAGGTAAAGGAGTCTCAGGCCTCGGAGCACAGCAGGACCAGGACTCTAGAGCACAGCCTGGCGCAGCTGAGCAGCTCAGTGACAGTCAGTCTAGCCGAGGTCTCCGGCCTGAAGGATGCGGACAAGAAGCTGGTGGAAAGGATGCAACACCTTTCTGCCTCCTTCAACTCTCTGCTGAGAGACGCCATCAGACACAATGACCTGCTGGAGCTGCTGCTGGGCGAGGAGGTGCTGGAGTTCCTGGAGTGGCCCGTCCAGGACCAGGAGGCCCACTCCATCCCGGCCCTGAAGGAGCAGCTGAGGCTCCTGCAGGAGCAACTGAGTAGACACGACCTGAGCATCACCTCCCTGCTGGGCAACAAGCCAGGTATGAACCACCAGGAGATGCATTTACTCAGCTTACATCGGTACAATTTAAGGTCCTCAAGTTTACTATTTCCATTTTCTTTCTCTGACAAAAGTCATAGAATAGTATGTCAAAAGTAATCATGACAAAAATCACAAAAAGTTCACAGTGTGGTACATCATAAAAATATAAAAGGTAATAGCATAATATGTCAAAAATATCATTAAAAACAAACAAAAAAAATCATAATATAGTATGTCAAAAAAACATGAAAAAGTCACAAAAGTTCATTGTAAAGAATGTCAAAAAAAAATCACAAAAGTAATGGTTTATCAAAAAAAAAAAATTAAAAAATTACAGAAGTCACTGTGTAGTATTTTTTTTTAAAAAAAAAAATCACAAAAAGATTTGGTATAGTATGTCAAAAAATCACTAAAAAACATTTTTTTAAAAATTATAGTAAAGTATGTAAAAAAAAAATCACAAAAAAGTCTATAGTATGTCATAGAAATATTTTAAGAATTACAAAAGTCAGAGTATAGTTGTTGTTTTTTTCTAAGCCATGGAAAGGTATATAAAAAAAAAAAAACCATTAAAACATCACAAAAAATGTCTCTGTAAAGGCACAAAAAAGCCAAGAAATTATCTAAAAATGATCCTAAAAAAACTTTATTAGTCCGAACTTGTTCTTTTGAAACTGCTGCAGTCAAACACAGCTCTGTAGCACCATCTAGTGGCCACTGTTAGAAACGAAAACAACTCCACAACCAGAACTGTAAAGCAAATTGTCATCTGATACAGTCCTGCAGAAATAAAACCAGAGGCTGCAAATTGAAACAAAGTTTGGTATATCTGAGTATCTACCGCTTCACTGGGTACAAAGTGAAGGTGTCTCTGCCTGAGCTGGCAGAAGCTGAAGTAAGCATGCTCACATTTAGAATTTCATGTCTGTATTTGATTTCTAAAATCAAAACCAGCTGCCTGCCTGTAATATTAAGTTTCTCCATTTATGGTTTGAGCCAAAATCTCAAGGCACACCTGTATCTATCACGTGTTATCACTCTTATCACGACATGTTTGTTTTTATTTCCTAATGTCAAATAACAATTGACAACCAACTCTTACTTATGAAATATTTATTTACAAAATGATTTATAATAATTAATTTTCAACTTTTTAAAATTACATCAAAGCACCAATAATACATCCATTCAAACAGAAAATAATGTAAGATAATGTAATGTGTCACACACTAACAATTCCCTCACACAAATTGGTTCCGTGAAGGTTTCTTTTCAATCAAATTAAAAAAAAATTTAAAGGTAGTTTGCCTGTTTATTAGGAAATGGGTGCACACAAAATACCGTTACATTCAATTAAAAATTCATTCATAACTCCTTGTACGCCTTTATTAGATTTGAAACAGCAGAGAAATGTTGTGATTAATTACACAGACAGCATCTTAAACCTCTCCACCACCAAATCCAGTTTCTTCTTTAACTATAATCCATTTTCCTGCTCCCAGGAGACAGAGAGGAGAAACCGCCTGCTGACCAGCCCTCCTCCTCCGACTGGCTCCCTGGCAGCACGAGGAGGAGCAGCGGTGGAGTGCCAGCCCGGGAGCGCCAGCTGCTCCTCCACTCTGAGGCGAGGCGTCTGGGCCACGGTGGAGACGGCAGCGATCTATGGAACCTGGAGAAGACAGTGGAGGAGCTGGCGCTGAAGGTGCACCGGCTGGAGGAGAAATTTAATAACACCTCTGCAGAGAGGGAGGCGCCACCCAGTGGTGTGGAGGCCAAACTGCAGGCGGAGGTGAGGTGGTTGAAGAGAGGGCTGGAGGAACATCTGAGGATGTTCAAGAACGTCTTCAGTAACGCTGATGTGCTGGCGGGGTCTGACGCCACGCTGGAGCTCGATAAAGTGTGGCAGCTGGTGAAGAACAAAGATAAGAAGAGAGGAGGATCAGGAAGAGGAGGAAACCATCGGAGCAGGAGGGAGTCAGGTGGGTGCACACTCAATTTGTTCTCTTAAACCTTTCTCTTTCTATGAGGTTTGGTCACACGTGCTTTAGGTTGGATTTGCCAAAATAGAGTCTTAGAATGTAAAAACTCAATAATAAAGTCAGTAGTTTGTCATAATAATGGAAGTGAAGGAATACAAATGTCAAAGTATTTAACTAAAAATCACAGAAAAATATCACATCATACTTTGATATATCATAAAATAAATTTCTTAAAGTTATAGTATACTATGTCATGAAAAAGTCGCAAAACAGTCATAGTATACTACATGTTAAAGGAAAAACTCATGGTATATATGTAAAAAGTCAGTTTAGGATGTCAAATATATATATTTAAATAATATAAAATTGAGAATCTTTATAAAAAACTAAGTAATAAGTCACACTATAGTACATAAAACCCTTTATAAACAAATCATGAATACAGTATGTCAAAAAACATCTACAAAAATCAAAATGTAAAAAAGTAATTATGTTCAAAGTTATAGTATAGAAAGTTATATTACAGTATGTAAAAATCATTTAATAAAGCAAATCACAAAAAGCCATGGTAATGGCTGCATGGTTTCAATAAAAATGTATGATAAAAATATTAATATATTGTGCATAATAAAGGAGTCATGGTATATTATGTCATAAATAATCACAAAGTAATAGCAGGGTACATTATATTTTTTTAAGTCATAGTATAGTCATTTAAACAAATGAGAAAGCAATAATAGATTACATTTTAAATTTTTCAAATAGTCACAGAAAAGTGTCATAGTATAATGTGTCAAAATATCTAAAAAAAAAAAAACCCAAATCATAGTAACATAAGTCATTAAAAAAGTAATAATTTGGTACACATTTTTTTAAAAGTGTCATAGTATGGCTTATAATAATTTTAAAAAGTCAGTGTAGTATCTCATAAAAAAAGAATCACATGAATCACATGAAGTAATAATATGGTACATAATTTTAAAAAGTCATAATAGTGTATCAAAAAAATAATTCTAAGTCATGTTTTTTTAAAAATCACAAGTTATAGGGTCCATGATCATTTGTCATAGTGTAGTATATCAAAAACTATCACTAAAAAAACAAATCATAGTAAGTCATAAATAAAATCACAAAAAGTTATAATTTTAAGAGTCATAGTATAGTATGTCATTAAAGCAACTCAGAAAAGTGTCATAAAAAACACAAAGTAATATGGTCGATTATAATTTTTTAAAAGTAGTCATAGCATGTCATAGAATGGTATATTGGTCAAGAGTCATCTGTCAAAAGTAATGATACATTATGTCATCAAATCTCACAAAAACAAAGTCATAATTAATTTGTAATAGTCTTTTGTGTCTTTGTGGTTGTTTTGAGTAAGTGACACGAAAAGACCTCAAAGTTTTCTGTCAGGAACAAATCTGTCAGTCAGAGTCGTTCACCTTAAACAGGTACCTTACCTTTCTTTGACCTTCCAGGTGTTGCTCCCGTCCCGCCCGGTGACTCTCTGCTGCCCATGGCTGGACCTCCTCTGAGCGTCTCTAACGGCATCATCATGTTTGACACATCACTGAACCAGGGTCAGTTTTACTCCGACACCGGCACCTTCACTGCTCCGGTGAGTGGGCTCTACCTGTTCGTCCTCAACTTGGACCTGAGCCTAGGCCCCGCCCACACGGCCCTGAGGAGGGGGTCAGGTGGAGCACCAGTGTCACTGCACCACCGTGAGGTGACGGAGGCAGGGCTGGTCACCGGTGTGGGCCTCCTGCCGCTGAGGGAGGGGGAGGAGGTGAGGCTGGAACTGAAGGGAGAAGCGTGGGTGGAGTCAGAGGACAATGTGTTCACCGTACTGCTGCTCCATCAGACTACCTGAGGGCGCTGTGGACCAAAGACACTGATCAGAGACTCAAACATATTTCACATGAGGTTTTAACATGCTGAAGTCCAGTTGGTGGAGGTTTAATGCCAAAGCACCTTACAGTGTCATCAACAGGTCAGATGAGGTGGAGTCAACCCTTAAACTAGTCAGTGCTGATTAATGTGTGACTGCAGGGTGAGAGCCAGACCAACATGTCACACTACAAGACGTCTGGATCAAATTTAAACAATTAAACTGAGATGAAACTGAATGTTCTCAATTTTCTTGTTTGGCTCCTTCTAGTCGCTTCAACTGCAGTTTCAATTTCCTTCTTTCAGTGTCTTTGTTGTAAGTACAGAGCTGGAGTCAGGCCGTTGTTCACCTATCCAAAGTTTAAAACACAATAACTAGCACCTCTACAGGGGCTGTACACATGCTGCGTTTTTTGGCGCACTCACCAGAGCAAAGCTGTTGCAGCGCACACACGTTTCCAAGCACCTTTTTATCCCCAGGGCGAGACGTTTGCACCCTGAGATAAACGGAGTTCAACTGTGGGAATGCGGCAGCACACATCGCATGTTGAATCTGAGGTTGCTAAGCGATCATCACCAGCACTGTAATGTGGTCCACTTAAATCCTGAGTGCAGAGCTGATCTTCTTCCAGGTGTTGTTTTGTGAGTGTGTACTAGGCCAAAAATATTGACAGATGTAAAGCTCTGGCAGCCCTGCACTGAAATTATGAACTTGTTCTGCGTATTTACCACAGACTGATATTTACAGAAGAAATGTGTCAGCTGTGATTGGTTGTTCCTCGTCACATAACATGCGATGCACACTGCTGCGTTCCAAAAGTTGAACTCTGAACTCACAGGCGCGCGTAAATGATAGCGTCGCTCCAGTGTTTGAGTGCACAAAAACGTGTCGTGTACACGGCCCCTAACTTATCATAGTATTTCATTTATTTAATGTGGACATGATCAGAAATATGAAAAACAGTTTGGAGTTTTAATAAGTTATTGTACAAAAAAAAAGTTCTGTGGTTTTACCATTCCTTTTTGTGTCGATGTTATTAATTATTTGACCACTAACAACTAAAAAGAGATTTAATACAACTAAATCAAGACTCAAAATGACCACAAACAATTCACAATGACTAGAAAGATACTCAAAGGATTAGAACTAGACTAGACTAGACAACCACCGGGACAGTGGACATGACTAAAGGCTGTTTCATAGTCGACTCAAAGGCACACAGATGCAAACGCATTTTATTGATACGTGACGCATGTAATACCATGCGTTGCCAGCAGGGGTGATAATGCAAGCGACGTACTTGAAATGAACCACTTTGTTATTCACAGAAGAAGCAGGTCTGAAATATGGCGGGCGAGGAGGGAAAACTTTGCGAACTCGTACGGGCACACCCCCATTTACATGACAGTTCTAGTGCCCTGGACTCAAGATAGCAGCACTAGCTAGCCGGAATGTACCGGTGACTCTGCTACCCCCTACTGCGCTAGCGATGTACTGCATTTCAAGTGTCGCCCGCGTCGCTTGCGTTGACTATGAAACGGCCCTAAAACGGATTCAAAATGCCCACAAAGAGACTAAAAAGGATTAAAACTAGACTGAAAATGACCAGAGACAACTCAGTGACTACAGGATTCAAGATGATTAGAAAGATACTAGACTCAAAATTACTAATATGAAACTTAAGATGACCACTAACAGACTCAAAATGACTAAAACCAGACCCAAAATGATCGAGATACTCAAAAGGATTAAAACTAGAATCACAATGACCACAAAGAGACTCCAAACACCCACCAGGAAACTGAAATGACTAAAAGAGACTCAAAACAACCACAGATTGCTAAAAATGACTAAAACCAGACCCAAAACTAAACTTATGACCACAAAGAGACTAAAGACATACTCGAAATGATTAAAACGAAGCATAAGATGAACACAGAGACTGAGAATGATGGAAAAAGACTCCAAACGACTTAAAATTACTAAAGACACTGAATGACAATAAATAATAACCAACCACAGAGACTCAGAATTAGATGAGAAATCGTTCCAGCTTATGCTAAACTAGGCTAACCTCGTCCTTACTCCTGCTCCAGAGACATAACTTCCTGTATGTCAAGCAGAACAGCTACAGTGAGAATATTATAAGTCAAAAGTGTTTGAGTGATCTGTTTGGTGTCTGCTTACCGTCACTGATGAATCTTCAGCTTCCTCATAGTCATCCTCAGAAACAAACCTGACCACAGATCAGCTGCTGCCGACACACTGAGGAGAAAGATAAACATGTCGTCATATCATCTGTCTTTTAAGGGATTTGTTTTTTACTTTCCATAAAGAAAATATTTGTATGTGTGATGTTTGTAAAGTACCAGTATAAAGCCATTAAACACACAGAGCAGTAAATATATATTTATATAAGGGGACAGCTGAGCCGTTTGTTGGTGTAAACAAAGTGATGAAATGTGTTTATAGAAAAGTCTGATGATAAAACATGTTATAAAAAATAATAAATATAAAAAGGACAGAGGTTTGATTCTGAGCTGAGGGTGAATTCTCGCTGTGTAATATTTGAATGTAAAGACAAAAACCGATGTCCAAAGAAATGATTGATGTGCATAAATTCAATAACTTAAGACAGTCCTGAGTAACAAACTAATATCCAGCAGGATTTAGACTGTGACAGACGGTAAATCTCCGCTAATTAATGTGCTTCAATACAAGCTTTGACACGGACTGAATGAATGAGGAAATGAAACAGCGTGTAAGAGGGAGGAGACAGAGAAAAACTCAGGGTCAGGACTACAACGGTGAGAGATTTTCCCTGTACGCTAAACTCAGAAAATGTTGCAGTGTCACAGCATGTAAGAATTATTATTCAAGTTTGTGTAAAAAAGTCTCCTAATAAAGTTGAGATTTTCTGACCAGTTGCAATTCAGGTGTTAATTCAATACATTTTTGTATTTTTGTATTTTTACAGCTTCCAAATAAAATAAATAAATAACCAAATGGATAAAATAAATAATTTTAAAAATCTGATAATTATTATATGAAGAGTTGATTTACAAAAACAGATAAATGCCAATCTTAAAATTAATTTAAAAAAAAAACAAAAATGATTGATAATCCTGTAAAAAAAAACAACAGGTGTTATACAAATAATTTTTTGTAAATGAACTCTTCATATATCGGCTGATAATTAGTTTAACTTGTTGACGGGTATGGCTGCTTCCAAATAAAAAATAAAAATAATAATTAGATAATCATTATATGAAGACTTAATTTGCAAAAATTGATAAATGCCATTATTAAAATCAATAAAAAAACAAGATATGACTGATAATCCTGTAGGAAAAAAATGTGTAAACAAAGTTGATGTTTTTGTAAATGAACCCTTCATATATCTGATATCGGTTTAACATGTTGACGGCTTCCAGATATGTTAAAAACAAAAAACAGCCGCCATAACAGAGATACATGATGGTTTGGTTTTACTCACTGTTTGATGACCCACGTGCTTCACTTGGTTCAGAGTTGACTGATTTGCAGGATGTGTGGAGAGATGCAGGATGACGCCATGAACTGGTTGTCTTGACTGTGGCGTCCAAAAAAATGAAAACAAAACTCCCCAAACAAACAGGCTTTACAAAAACAGAGTTCAAATCAATCTGGTATTAAACTTCATCAAACAATTAAAACTAAGATTAACCAACCACGCGGCGGTTAAAGACTGAAACTCCGTGGTGTCTTCCATCCACGCTGCACACTCACCTCAGCACACCTGGATGAAATCAAAGGTTCCCGGATGCTAGGTCAGGTGGTGCGTTAGAGTGACTCAAAAAATAATAGGAAACTAGGAGTTACTAAAACGGCTCTAACAGTGTATCCCTGAAATGTGAGGGGTCAGTTGGTAGCCTATTTCTGCCTGAATAATGACTTCAAGGATTAATCGATTACCAAAAGAGTTGCCAAGTCGACACAAGAAAATGTTCACATTGTACGTTTCCTGAGACCCTGTGTCCTCATTTGGGTTTACTGGACCTTCATTTTGCCCGACTGAGGCCTCATTAGTGGACACTTCTTTTTGTGTTATCTAGTGGTACTAAGTGCACATTACAGTCATCCATGTTAAAACAAGATGGCGGCCATCTGTGCCAGTCTGCAGCTGATCCTGACACAAAAGAGGACAAGGTCCAAAACCTAATCATGTTTAATGGTTGAAACTTGTTTATTTATGATTAAGAACATTAGTAGTATGATATGACAACACATCTGACAAATTTCGGTCATCAGGAGGTGGAGACAATGGATGGTGTGTCACATAGGTGAGACACCTGTCAATCTGCAGACCACTGTAAGAGATCAACAAACAACAAAACCAGTTGCTCCTTGGCAACACTTCGCAGCATTTCCCCCAGTATTATTGGCACTGAAACTAAGTGACCTTTACAGACACATCATGGTGTTTCCTAGCTGTGTTTAAGCCCCGAATTTGTGTTTTTCACTGACTTTCCACTTTTGTGGGTGTTTTAATCAAAAGATGATCTTTTCCTGAACATAACCAAGTAGTTTTTATGCCCAAACCTAACCACATGTTAACCACCGTGTTAATAGAGGTTTCAATGTATCTGCTACAAGTGTAACATATCAGTGTTTGCAGAAATGTTCAATGTTAACATTTTTTCTGGTGATTGGATGACTGCTATTCGGTTGAAGGACTTGTAAAAGGTAAATTAATGCATCAGGATGAGAGGAAACAAAGTACATGAAAGTATTTAGCCCCGTTTCCACCAAACACTTTCGCTATGGTACCTTTGAAAATTAACCCTTCAGACATGGTACCTAGACCCTAGCGTTTCCACCACAAACAGTACCCTTAAATGTGGGCGGGGTTGTTGTCACTCACTGCTCCGTCCAGCACTCACTGTATTTCCTCCTTTATCAGTCTGCACCTCGTTTATCGTACACAGAACGAGGCTGCACGCCGACATTTTCAGAACAAAATAAAACAGGCTGCAGTGAGAGTCTCTCTCCGTGGGGTATTTAAGAATAGCAAGTTTGTGCATTTAGTCCTTCTCAGGCAAGTTCAGGGGTTTAGTGTTGCTGGAGCCCACAGGAACTACTTTTTTCCCTCCGAGTGAATATATTCTGTCACATAACCCGGCCGAAATTTATATACATAAACACTTGAGGATCCACTCATTACTAAAAGTGTATGTTGTATAAAAACTAAAGTGATGGTCAAAGTTGTGAAATTTAAGGTGTGTTGATGGATTCACGTCGTCAACTCATGCACTGAGTAACATTACAAGTAAACGTTCCACCTTAAAAGTCGTCGGCAGTCAGCCCAGTGAATTAAGTTATTTTTTCTCAGACTCCAGCTGCTGTGAGAGGCAGCAAACATCCTTTCATTTTACAGTTACAGTTTAGGCTACTACTAAAACTCTCCACAGTATGAACGGTGGTTACATGAGTCTCAAAACCAGCCACAACTCAGCCCTGAGCAGAGTGACCATCCTCTACAGTCAGACTGCAGTGTTCACAGCTCCACCTTTTAGCACCAGAACGGGGCTTTAGTTTCAGGTGTTTGATGTTGTGACTGAGCAGACAAGAATCTTCAACAGCTGATGATTTCCTGCTTGAATATTTTTTTTTAAAAAAGTAAAAGACACTTAAACTTTTCCTTTAAACATTTTAATCATCTCTGTTAACTCTACAGTGTAGAAAAATAAGCATCAAAAATATACCAAAATCAACAAAATAAAATCTGGCGAAGCAAAAAGCAAAAAAACGAAAAAACCCATCAACTTTGAAATGGTGAAAAAATAACTTCATTACTAATATTATAATGAACTCGGGTCTGGTCTGAACTCAGCACTTAGATTAAACTCTGACAGGAAGTCTTCTTTTCAGAATAAAATCAAACAGCAGATAGAGAATCAGTAAATCAGTACGAAATGATCAATTCATATTATTATATCATAATCAGTATCTAGTAATCTGCGGAACAACTGCAGATGAAATGATTCGGAGTGAATATTTAACTTCAGACTAGACTTGGGTTTGTTTGTTTTAGCTCACCTGGAGCACCAGACGGGTGGGGTCACTGGGTTCTTGGCAGTAGGACAGATCAGCTCTGCAGAAGTCACTCAATCCGTTATTAAAACAGCATTCCTGTTTTTCTTTCGTTAATCTATGAAACCAAAGTCGTCCGAGTACAAAAACAAGCCGATAACGAGGAGCGTCTCCCTGAACAACGGGAGATGTGTCAACAGAAACCAGCAACAAGCACATGAAATAAATCTATCAACACTTCTGAAGTGCACTAAATCAGAGTTAAATGTTGCTGCGCTAAAAAAGATCTGCATATATCATCGTTACAATAAATGTACACCAAAGTCTCTCAAGGCTATAATAAAACATCATGCTAAATATTAGCTGTCAAAATAAAAGCTTTAGTTATTAATCTCTAACAGCCTCGTGTACAGTATAAGAAGGCTCCACATCCCAAACAAGGCGACTAACTACCTTTAGAAAATTAGACTATAGTAGGAGAGTATATTCAGGTAGAATAGTTTCATCTATGCACAACTTAGTCTGACAAGCCTACAAAAATAAATAGAGTAATAAGTAGAGTAGATTTTATATTCGGAGACACAGACGGCGGCAAAGAAGCAGCTCTTCTACTTCCTGTCGTGTCTCAACGTCCTTCATGTGACACCTGCTGCCTGACACATCGATCGTCACCTGAAGTATCTGGAGCTGTTATTCTCCTCCTTCCACGTGGTGTCAGATTCACTAAAGCAGAAGTGATTAATCGACCAGTCAAAAAAATTAATCTGCAAAAATTTTGATAATCACAAATCTTTTTTTTTGTTTTAAAGGTATACTATGCAGGATTGTCAGCTACTGTCTGTAAACATGGTCACCAGTGACAGGTCACCAGACTATCACAGGGCTGACACACAGAGACAGACAACCACACACATTCACACCTACGGACAATTTGGAGTCACCAATTAATCTGCATGTCTTTGGACTGTGGGAGGAAGCTGGAGTACCTGGAGAAAACCCACGCACCCTGCATAGTAGACCTTTAAAAGCCATTTGTATAACAAAGAAAATGTCCAAAAATTATCTTTTATCCAGCTTCACTAATGTGAATATTTGCTAGTTTTTTCATCCTCTCTAACATTAAACTGAATATCGCTGCTGATTTGACTGAGGGACATCACTATTTCCCGACATTTTAGACTAAAAAATTACTTTAAAATTAATTGGGTAAATAATTAAATTAATAATTAAAGGGTTTGTTAGTTCTAATAAAAACTCGAGTCAACGGGCTTTCAACACTTTGCTTCGCATTCATCATAATTTCTGTCATTTAGAAATGAATCACAAACTATAGATACATACATACAAGTTTAAATGAAATGTCATTCACAGCTGACACACACTTAAAAAGTGTGCTACTATTAGCTGTAGTTAATGACTTCATAAAATCACAATAGCACATACCATTTCAATTTGTATTCCTCTATAACAGGCTACAGCATCAAGAATGAAACCAAATAAAAAAAAATTAAAAAGGCCTCAGACGGTTGAAAATAAATCTGTCTATTCATCTAAAAATTAAGAAAACAATATCTTCAAACACAAGGAGACATCTTCAGATGGCTCACACCAAAAAAGAAGCAAATCCTCACAAGTGAGAACCTGGAACCGATTATTGTTTTTGATTTTTGCTTGAAAAATAGCTCAAAATAGTTGTAGATTGAACCAGTCGTTTTTCCAGCTACATACCTTTACTCTTCTTTGTTTCTTACCATTTAATAAACACGTTGTTTATGCTGATTATGAATCTGACACCCAGCAGATTGAGACTAATAAGTCCTACCTGTTAAATGATTATTGATGTGTCAGTTTTTCTCATGTTTCAATCAAACTTTATCAGTTTGAACAGAGAGCAGATGAACAGCAGTGTCTTCATCATCACACTGCTTTGCTTTCAGTTCTGTTCTTCTTCATCATCATCATCATCATCATCATCATCTGCCGACCTTCTCATGGTCCTGGTCTGTATCACGGTGCTTTGTCTTGATTAGAAATCTAAATGTGCTTAAATCCAGCAGACATTCATAGACTGTGTGTAGCAGATCTGTCTGTGTGGTGTCATGTATTTTGTGAGCGTCCAGACTGGGGAGGACCAGGTGAGCAGGCTGGGAACACAACGTGGAGAGTAACGGCGGAGATTTGTTGTGAGCAGCTCCTTCTCAGAGGAAACAGATGCAGGAGAGAAGAAACTATAGTGAAGTTCTTTAAGTGGCAGAACTCTGCGAGGCCATCTTGTCTGTTTCCCCGGATGAAGCTGCTGCAGCCGACCAATCACAGAGTTTTATTCCAAAGTGAGATATCCACCAACATAACGATGGGATTTTGGGCAGCATCGGATTTAAAGAAACATTGGCACATTTTAAATACAAAAAAAAAGAAACTTTATCTTGAGACATTGGGAGCTGGACTCTTGGGAGCTGGACTCTTCTACTGTGGCGTCTGCAGGGCACGGGAGCCTCAGGCCGGATCAGCTCACTGGGCGGAACCGAGCCACGTAAGCGCCACAGGACGGGCAGTAGGGGCGTGACGGCTCAGCAGGAAGCTGCTGGCAGAGCGAGCAGAGGTGGGGGTCCCTGCGGGGCCGGGGAGGCTGGTGGGAGTCGGTCCGCTGGAGGGGCAGGTGGTGGCGGGCGGTACGCGGATCCCAGGAGGAGCTGACAGTCCTGTAGTCCGCATCACGGCGCCAGTCGGTCTCAGGGGGCACATCCAGGCGGAGCGGCTGGGCAGGGGCCTCCCCTGGCACCCTAAGGTGGTGCGGAGTATAGTGGGTGGACCCATTGACTTTAATAGGTAGCGATGGTTGCCGGTAGTGACCGTTAGTGGCGGTGTTGGCTGAGCGGCGAGGGTGGGACAGGGTGGCGTAGAGACTCTGTGGACCTGGCAGTGGGGGGGCAGGACCGGAGCTGGCTCTCGGTCTGGGGAGGGAGGAGGTGGAGGAGGGAGGTGGGGCTCGGCGAGGAGCTCGGGGCAGAGTGCCGTAATTCAGCGCGACGCTGTGGAGGCTTTGACCTGAGAGAGCCTGATGCCTGTCAGGCACAACCAGAAACTGCTGCTGGATGCCTGGTCCAGATCCTGAAGAGGGGGAGGAAGAAGAGGAAGAGGAGAAAATGGGAAAAACAATCAGAAATGCTGTAAACAAAACCCTGACTATGGGTCGGCTCCATTTCAGTGCGCTGGTGCGCCGCTTAATTAATAGCGAGGGCCGGAAAGACCGTTTAAATGGAGTGTAATCTGTCAGTCAGCTTTTCCTTGTTGACAAATAACTGCCTGCATGAACAATAACATTCATAATATGATTTTATGTTAGCCTGAAAGAAAGTCATCGGTTCTCCGTTTGATCAATATCTCTTGTTTGTTTAGACCATGTGCTCGTGGTGATGTAAACACCTGAAATTTAGCAGAGAATCCAGCACATCTGCCAGCTGCAACGACTGTCATGTGATGTGCAAATTCCACCTACTTGGCACACCACAGAAGTACGCTAGCGTAGTTATGGTGCGTACCCACCTGACACAGTCCATCCTCAGCCAATCAGAAGCAACTAAAGGTAAATGCTCTGAATCTTGTTGAACTTGTTAAGAAAAAGCTAGAATTTTTTAAACTGACAATAACTGAGTTAGTGTGTAGGATTCAGTGGCATCTAGCAGTGAGTTTGCGAATTGCAACCAACTGAACAGCATCCCCTCACCCCTCCCCTTCAAATAACCTACATTGGCTTTCACTTCAAGGTTAAAATGTGAATGACCCTTTCCTGTGTTTGGTTTGTCTGTTCTGGGCTTCTGTAGAAACCTGGTGGTACAACATACAGTAGCGCATTACCTGGAAGAGGTCCAGCCTCCACTGAGGATATGTAGGACTCATTCTAAGCTAACGAAAACACAACAATTCTTAGGGCTCTTTCACACCTACCTCATTTGTGTCCAGACTTTTGGACTTTTGATCCAAACCAAAATTACAAGTGTGAAACCTCCACCAGACCAAACAGCCGGACCTTGGTCTGACAACTAAGGTGGTCTCTGTCCCGATCAAACTGAAGTTGGTTTGGTTTTGTTTCTGGTGTGAAAACGTTTCCTGGGTGGCTCAAACTTTTGGACCAATTACAGAAAGTTTTTTTTGCAGGCTATCATTAAGTGATGGGAGCCCTGTAGTGCGTCATATGTGTTTGGTTTAGTTCAAAGCATAACGGCAGCTGCGCTCAGAGCAGACAAGAGTTGGCGATTGCAGCAGAGGAGAAATTAGCAGTAAAGATGTGAAGTAGTTGTAAATATAAAGCGTTTAGTTTTAGTCTGAACATCTGACCTTTTCAGACAGATTTATTTAAACTGAGGTTTTCTTTCAGGGAAATTGGACCCCTGACAACTGCTTCTAACCTCAACTAACTAAACTCTCAAGTAACTGTCTAAGAAATTTACAGATTACAATGGTAGCAGATTAATCAATTTTTTTTTGCAGGGAACTACCTAAGAAATTATTAGTAACATTTTCCCCAACATGAAGTCTAAATATTCCTGCAATGCCTTCTCCACACGGCCAGGAATAAAATTCTACTGGATAAATAGTACATTATTTATTTACACTCAGGGTGGTGAAACCTCCAAATTCCCCCAAAATAACAGAGGTCATAATTTGTGTAGCAGTCACTGATTATATAAATTCATATTAGATATTTCATTTTGAAACTTATACTTTTGCTGCTGCATAAATCACCACATCATGAAATTAGTGAGCTGATACAAGGATCAAATGTGTTAATGCTTGGTGAATTTTAGACTTCTGAAGGACTTCCTGTTGTGAGGAAACACCAGGAAACTCTCATTTGTTGGTGGTTGTGGTTTCGGTGGTGCTGGTTGAGAGTGGAGGTGAAGGTGGAGGTGAAGGGCCAGCAGGTTACCTGAGTGTCCCCAGGAGGAGAGGCCCGAGCTCGGGGGCCGTGATGTCTGCAAGGGAGGGTGCTGTGAAGGATGTGCAGGAGCTGAGGGGCCGTGGTGTCGGGGTTGTTGGAGGAGGTGGTGGTGGTGGTAGGAGTGATCTGTCGTGAAGGAGGTGGAGGAGGAGGGGATGTGCAGGGAGGAGGTGCTGGGGCGACGGAGGAGGGAGGAGGAAGAGGAGGAGTGTCTGAGAGGGGGCCTGGGCACAGAGGGGTCCTTCAGGGTGAGGAGAAAGAAAAGAGATGATAAAAGAAAATGATGATGGAGGTAAAGAAAGGAATAACAGGGAGGAGATGTGATGGAGAAAGATGAAGGAGCAACAGATGGAAAAAGATGGGAGCAAGAGGAAGGAAATGATGCAAGAGAAAATAAAGATGTGATAGATGAAGAAAAGGATAAGAGACGATGAAGAAAAGCGGGATGGTAAAATGAAAAAGGACAGGACACAGGACAGAAAATAAATGAGAAATTATGAATAGAATAAGAAGACAAAACAGACAGAGGGGAGGGGGTAAAAATAAAAACAAGTTAACATGATGGAGGGAAAACCATGAAAAATGACACAAAATAAAATCCAGTCATCTGTGAAAACCTTGCATCTTTAAAGGAATATTTCACCCAGTGTTAAGTTGAATTAATGATAAATATGTTGTTTTTCTTGCATGCTTCCAGTAGATGGTGTTAAGTTCCACATGTAGTTCAGATCCCTGTCGGAGAGGAATGTCTATTTGGGAAGTACTGAGTGTACGACTGGATAAATGAGACTTGGGTTATACTGCTTTTTTTTGGATTCTTTATTTACCTTGGAGGCATGCAAGAAAAAAAAGTTTTCTTCACAAATTCACCGTAACAGATGGAGAGTAGCTGACATGCAGTTGTCATTTAAGGGTTGAAGTATTCGTTTAAATGCAAGTTTTTGTTTTCTAGAAATAAAAGGTGAGGATGAGTTCTCTTCTTCACTTTAAACCTGCAATAACTCTGAGTTGAGCTGATATGTTGAACCAAACAGCTGCTTATTTCAACACCTGGCGTACGCAGGTCTTTTAAACGCAGGACAACCTGCTAAAAAGGCATTAGACTCCTTTCCCATTGCCAGGAGACAAGCATGATCTTCTGTGTTTCTTTTTTTCCAGGTGTGTTGTGTTTGATGTCAGGAAACATGCCAGAAAATGAGGTGAGTAAACACTAGAGAGCAGCAGGAGCGTGGAGGCCAGTAAAAATGGTTACGGTGGTAACTTCTTTTCTATATCTGGTATTTATTTAGTCTCTTGTTCAAATAGGACAAAGATAGACGGAATTAAAGGCTGAGATGACAAATAGTCACAGAAGTTATCAACAGTTGTGCCGGAAAAGGTGCGTAATGCTTCCATCACTGCTGATCAGAGCTGGAGGCGTTAAATGCCAAAGCCTTCTGCAGAGTCATTTGTCCATAGAATTTAAATTGATTGTAACGTTTCCCACTGAAGACGAGAGCCAGATGTAAGTGGGTTTTTTGTCCAGTGGGAAAGGGGCTTTAGGTTAGAGGTGTAGAACATAGAGATCTATCTATCTTTGCATCAGCAGTAAATTATAAGTAAAATTGTAGTAGAGGATGAGTTCTTTAAAAGTGCAGTGAATAAACAGCTGTCTTGAGCAGAGCTGATTTGTCTTCATGTTAGCGTTTGAATCATTTATGAGGATCGCTGACTGCAGGTCAAAGTTCACTTTGTTTTTAGTTTAATACTCCATCCATTTAAGTTTTAATGTTTCAGTGGGTGTATTAGAGACACAATTGGCCCTCCGACATTCAGAGGGAGAATAAAACGCTCCGGCTGAAGTGAAACATCAGGATTCCTCCCACAGACGCTGATATCCGGAGTCAAACCTCAGCTGTCGGTTCACATCAGGCCGGCTTCGCTTCGCAGCGAGCGCAGAGGTTAAAAGCTTAATGGAAGAACTAAATCAGTGATCAATCTTTAATGTGCTGGCCTGAGGCGATTCCTGAGGGCTGAATACAAGATGGCTGAACGCCAGCGGCAACAGAGAGGGGCACTCTAAGAGAAGCACAGGCTGCTGCTACAGAGACCTGTACAGCTGTTCAGAGTTTCATACGTTAACAGGGTTTCGCACTGAACGTTTTAACTGCTGTAGAGATAATTAGCAACAAGTAGTGTGCTCCACATCAGCAGCAGGAAAGATGATTGTACAGAATCATTTTTTGATTTCACGCCATTTTATTATCTACCCAAGAAAAATAAGTTCTTACATATAGGTGTTGCTTGGTTAAAAATGTTCTTTAAAAAGACACAAAGGACCACCACATTTGTTAAACAGTGTGTCTCAGTCACAATGAAATAAAAAGCCATTAACCATTAATAAGTTAACCAGCCTGAATATTTTTGACCGTTTACACATGTTGGTTTATCGTTCAGCTTGCTACTCTTTAGTTTACTGCACTGTGGCTACTTTACTGCTGGCTAGCCTTGTGAGCATGCTAAAACATAGTGCTCAGTGCCCACCCTCCAGTATTTCACTGGTCAGAATTAGCCATAGTCACTCTTCAATGCGCACCATGTGGGTGTGGTGGGAGTTAGGTAGCGCCAATGCTCATTCAGCTATCTGCTTGTAACCCTGTCGGGACCCAACAGTACTGCTGTGGAACGATTAATTGTGATTACATGGACATGAATAACCCATTTATGAGGCTTATCCTGGTTATGATCATATTCAGGATACAGTATTTACATGTGAACAGAGAAACCGGGTTATTCATATTCCCTGGATATATCCTGGTTTCTTTCAAAGTACTCCAGCTAGCATATTTGGGTCTCTCATGAATGGATTATAGTGTTTATATGCTCAAACACTTATACAGGATACTCTACAAGCACCCTCTGTTGATGACACATCCTTGATTACAATGGTTCTGACCCAAACCAGTCGTTGCACAGGCAGGTTCACAAGATAATACCAAGGTTTCAAGAGTCCTGAACAGAAACAGATCAAGACCCAGAGCTAGTTGGGTGGACAAGGGGTACGAGTGAAGAGCAGAACCTGAACCATGCTGCAGTTACACTGTATGAACACAGGGTGGCAACAGGATGTTAAAAAAATAATAGACAGAAACATGCACACAGCTGTTTGTGCGTCTCTTTTTATGTGTGTCTTGACTGTGACTTACGCAGCTGTGGGAGGGTCCAAGGTTTTGGGGTCGTGACCCGATGACAGTTCCACTCAGGCTGCGGGCGATGCGTCGCAGGTTTTCTGCGCTGTAGTTCTCATCTTCACCTGATGGCGGCTGCACAGAGGTTGAAGGTCAGAGGTCAGCAGGGAGTAACATTTTTAAATACTTTACTTTTTCGAGATAGTCCTGTCCCTCCTGGTATCAAAGGTTCAGTTCATGCTTGGACAGTATCCCTAATTCTTCCTGATAATCTTTTGGACTAAACGATTAATTGAGAGTGTAGTCTGGAGATTAATTGATAATGATAAAATAATTGTGTGTGACCTCCTCCATTGTTGCCTCATATGTTGTGTGAAACTTTTGACTCTGCCCTCAAGTGCCATCTACTGGCTGTATCAATGCCATCATAAAGGGCGCATGGTAGTATGAGGGCAGTGATATTTACAATGTTTCAAACTGACAAATCTATTTTCGTAAAGGAAGGGAGCACAAATGAGCCTCAACAACTGAGCAGAAGAGAGTAGAAAATATTTAAGTATATGATTTAGATCATTCACGTCTGGTAGAAACCAAGTCTGTTTAAAAAGAGATCAGTAATCAGGGCTGATATTTATCTGACAGATCAAATGAAAGCTCTAAATGCTCGCA